CTGGTGCCCAGCGCCTTTGAGAAGCAGGTAGTTGCCGCTGGCTGCCCCCCTCCCCTCGCCCCGGCCGTGCCCTGAGAGACAGGGTCGCCCCTTCCGCTCGCCCTCTGACTTCAGGCGCTGCTGCCTAAAGCGTTCCCCGCTCCCCCTTCTCTCCTCCTTAGGGGTCAGCCAAGCTGGAAAAAGCTGAGATTCTGCAGATGACTGTTGACCATCTGAAAATGCTCCATACAGCAGGAGGGAAAGGTAAAGTTTCACGTCCGACAGTGGGGTCAGGAGCTCCTCGGAGCGGCTGTTGTACGAGTGCGTTGCCTGCCTACCGTTCGGTGTGCTGTATGCCGTGGGAATTTTTAGAGAAAGTCAGTGGAAGTTGTGCTATCTTTTGTGAGGAATTTAGGACTTCCTCTTGCTAGAGAAGTTTTGCAGCCTGAAGCATTTCATAGCGTCGACTCTAGGTTATTCTAGGGGAGAATGATTGCAAGTTTCTCTGCTTCGTGATCAACACGGTGAAGCAACTTGTTTTTGGCAACTAGGAAGACTCAGAAGTTTTTTGTCGTTATTAACACTTTTTTTATAACTCTTTGAAAATTCAGAACAGAAAAAATAAAAATAATAGAGGATGAAGTGAGTAGTGAAGAGAATTGGTGAAATGTGCTTTTAGGAGGAAAAAAAAAGGTTGCCTATGAAGGGGCCCTCTGACAGGTTACACTTGTGTTTCTAATGAATTTCACTGTGCTGTAGTTTTGTGTGTACAGGGGAAAGAGGGAGAGAATAAAAGTACTTTCTTCCAGTGGCAGTGTGCAATTTCAGTTTAAAAATGGCACTCTGTGACCAGTCTTGGGACTTGCAGCATCACAGCACAGATATAAAAGAAAAGCTTGTTAGACAAAGAAGCAAAAAAAGGAGGTTGGCAGCTAATCTATGGTTAGGAAAACTAACCACATCCAAGTGAAATATGCTTATAGGGGAGGGTGGAGCAGAGAGGCTACACGTAGACAATGACTGGGAGCAGTATCTTAAGACTCCATCTTTGTTCTTTTTTTCTTAGGTTACTTTGATGCTCATGCTTTGGCAATGGACTATCGGAGTCTAGGGTTTCGAGAGTGCCTGGCAGAAGTAGCTCGATACCTTAGCATTATTGAGGGTCTGGACGCTTCTGACCCTCTGCGAGTTCGACTTGTGTCTCATCTCAATAATTATGCCTCTCAACGGGAAGCAGCAAGTAGTGCGCACACTGGCATTGGACATATTCCCTGGGGCAGTGCCTTTGGACATCACCCTCATATATCTCACCCACTGCTGCTGCCTCAAAATGGGCACTGTAATACCAGTACCACAGCATCTTCCACAGAACCACATCACCAGAGCAGAATTGCTGCACCACACGCTGAAACTTCCTCACTCAGAGTGCCCCCAAATGGCAGCGTTGGACCAGTACTCCCTGTGGTCACGTCTACTTCCAAACTGTCTCCTCCTCTTCTCTCCTCCATGGCATCCCTGTCTGCGTTCCCTTTTTCATTCAGCTCATTCCATCTGCTGACCCCTAATGTGCTGAGCCCATCTGCACCAACGCAGTCAGCAAACTTTGGCAAACCGTACAGACCATGGGGGACTGAGATTGGAGCCTTCTAAGGACAGACTGCTTAGTAAGGGTGGGGAAGCCTACAAACCTAGCTGAGCTGGGTTATGCCACACGTAAAATTGAAACTCTTAATAAACTGGGACAAAGGTACAGTTTCACCTTAACGTTTGTCCAAAAACTGTCTCTTTGGGTTTTTTGTTTTCTACATTTTTGTATTAGCAGTTTTTTAAAGAAATAGTTGCTGAAGTTGTCCAAAAATAAAATTACAATAGTGGATGTTAACCCTTGTGTTAGATCTATGCTGAGCATCTAAATTACTTTTCTTAACAGTTTATTTCAAATGTTCCATTTTGCCTCAGTGCGTCAGACCACCTTTTTATGCAGAAATGAGTACATTGCCTACTACTGTTAGCAACAGCTTAGCTTAGTTATTAATTTTTCCAAGACCGAAAAAAAAACAGCATTAGTAAGCTGTGTTTTTTGTTAATATTTTGACATTGAGAAGTTCTATGAGGAATTACTCTTTTTGTGAACTGTATTTGAATATTACGTTTCTGAACAAAGTGTTGACAAATCAGAGTGACCAGCTTTATCTAAGAGCCCAATTTCTATGTCTTTTGCAGGGGTTTGGTATATTTGGTGGTCTTATTCTAGTCCCTAGTGGGTGTCTATTCACGTCACAGAACTGCTACACTATTTCTTCCAACAAAAGGAGTAGTATGAACAAACTCTAGAAGGGGAAGGGTGCAAAAGCCAAATTACGAGTTACGTTGGTAGTGGGTTTACTTGTTGGGGATGTGATAGGAAACAAATTGTCACCTGCCATGGTTCTCTGGCCAAAGCCAGAATATGGGTATTCATTTCATAGGGCCAGATTCTGCCCTGAGTTATAGTGGAGTAATTATTACCCCGTGCACTTGGGTAACTGCAATCAGAGTCTTCCCCTGCAAGCTTCAAATTTGCCCCAGAAACAGATCGTGTTTGTTAAATACAAATTATGTTTATATTTAAATAGCCCATGAAATGGTACGGTTGGGAACCTGTTCGCTGCATAAGCACGTTGCTTAACCAATATATCTAACCGGTTGATTTTTCTGTTGTATTTGACTCTTAAGTGCAGTTCAGTGCCGCTCCTCATTTTGTAAGGGCTTTGCTGCCTTCTCTCTCTCTCTCTCCTTCTCTCTCTCTCTCTCTCCTTCTCTCTCTCTCTGTGCGTGCGTGCGTGTGTGTGTGTGTGTATTTTGGTTGATTTCATGAGACTCTTACCTGAACAGGTTTATTTAGTGAGTTTCACTGGACTGGGTTTGACTGCTCTTGTATTTTTGTTGTGGCTAAATAAAGAAAAAAGAACAAAATATTTTAAATAATATGTTTGTCTCATATATGTCAGTGGAGAACTCTGTACCACTAGGTACCATGGGAGATGCTGAAGAATTGTACTTAGTCTTTCTGTAGATATATATTTAACTTCATTTTTTAAATTAGAGTATACTTACCTACAGTAGCTGGGTACATAAAGAGGCACTGTGCCTCAGAATAGCAAGCAATGGAATGAAAATTTGCAATACGTTTTGTATGTTACTTCTATTTGCCTGGAAGTGTGTGGGCAGAGAGTGAAGAGATCAACGTTACTGCTAAAGAAGAGGTTGAAGCTGCACTGTCTCTGAATACTCTTACTGCTTTGTCTTAGTATTAAAAAAAGATCTTCTCTGCACATGTGGAGTCCTTTTCTGTCTAACTCGAAGTTTTTTTCTTACCTATAGCTCTGTGGCAAAGTGTTGTACATAACAGTCCAGTTCCTGCCATATGCGTTAGCGCAGTGTCTGCACAAGGTGATGAATCTCTGATTCATCTTGTATGTGTTACAGAGTAGCCTTACTGGCATCTTGCATGCTTTTTCTCAAAACAACAACCTAACAGGCAGTACGCAGACAGAAGGTTTTCTCCCTGAAGCAGCCTGAACAGATGTGTCCTACCTCTACCTACACAACTTCAGCGATTTGTCCTGGAAGCACCTCACTTCTTTCCTGTGCATTTCAATTTATAGGGCACTTATGTGATGGTAAATGGCACATCTGTGTCTGGATTTAGCTCTGCCAGAATAGCAGAAAAAGTGCTGGGCCCTGTGGGAGAAGAGGGCTTTGTTTAAAGAGGGGCCCTCGGGCCAATTAGGAGTGGCATTGAGGAGAGGCTAAGAGAGGGCTAGACTTTCTCAGAAGAAGGATTGTCTGGAGGCTGGAAAGAGTGGGAGGGCGCTCAAGTGCGTAGCCTTGTTTTACCTTCCGAGGCTGTAGGGGGCCCGTGCTAGATATGAAATGCAAAAGGTTGTGGCAGCTCGAAATACATATGTGTTATTGAGAAGAGATTATAGAGCATAGTATTTCATGTATACACATGAAATAAGAGTCTAAAATTCCAGATCCAGTTTCCTTTTCACAGTGCATATTGTCTCCTGTTTAATTATGCTCTGCCCTGTCCCTAATAGGTTTTTGTACCAAATTAACAACTCCCTACCTAGTAGATTGCTGTAGTGCATGCAACTATTCTTCAGATCTTTTAATAAATGGCAATGCTTCTCAGCCTTTTAATAGTTATTTCATTGACATTCAAATGACTTTGTCTGCCTCTAAATAGCTGGCTCTTTTGTGTAGAGAGACCCCTATAATTATTTCTGTCCCACTGTCCTAATCTTGAATGAACTTCAGAAACAGAGTGCAATAAAAGTTTAGCTGCTAGTGATTGTCTCTATATCCACTGTGGTCTCTTCCCATTACCAATAGTAAAGGTATTAACGGAAAGTACTAATTTTATTAAATGTTGCAGTACATCTATATCAGTTTCTAGAGACTCAGAATCTAGAGACTGCTATGTTGGAGACAGATGAATGCATTGTAGGAATTCACAAAAGGTAAAAATTCAAAAGGAGAAAGCATGTCCCAGAAACTGAGAAACCAGGGTCAAAGACCAGGGCTATGTTGCTATTTGTGCTGCTAACTTAGTAAATCATGCTTAAAAGTCACTTACTCCATATCAGTTTTGCTAACTGTGAAAAGAGATGGCAGTACTTGTTCTCTTTCCATCGGGAGATAGTGGTAGTTGAAAAATCTCTATATAAATGACAAATGCTGTTGTTTCTCAAAACTAAGGTACAGAAAAATTCTGTCATTTTTGTAAGATGCTAGGCTTCTGAAGACAGACTGAGAAAGTAGGCTTTCTCAGCAAGCCTCAAGTAGGCTTGCTGCTCTAGACAGCAGATAGCTGCTGAGCCCAAAATATTTACCTGTTTACCCTGTGGCAAAAAAGCAATTACAGGAGCACAAGCTTAGCTGGAGAGATGCTGGAGAAGGAAGGAAATGCATATTTGACTTGATCCCATGACCCCCAGCTAGCTTCAATCACTTTGGATGAATGAAACACTTTGGATGTCTGTCCAGAAATCCTCGAGCTGAAGCTGTGTGTGGGATGTAAGATGATGTAGCATTTCACTTAAGCAAATATTATTTTCCTTTATGGAGGAAACTAGGTTTGAGTGCAGAATAAGTTTAAGAAGTTGGTAAATATTGCATAAAACTGGATGCAAACCTTTGGAAATCCATTCAGTGCATTGGCCTAAAGTAATAGCTCATGGAAATGACATTTTTTAGCTTTTGGAAAAAAGCTGTCAGTAGTTCTCAGGACAGTTTCTATTCAGTGCTCCCCTCTTACACTAGTAGCATGACATAGTTTATTAGGATCACATAGAAAAATAAAAAGAATCCTGGCTACTGCTGTCTTCACTCACACATCAGCAAGTGAGTCTCCAGGTGACAGAAGCCTTCCCAGACTGTTGCTTGGTGGGGGAGGCCAACCAGGTTTTTCAGAGCAACGAACAAGCCTGTATGAGCATAGATAAACTGAAACCCTTCCTCCTGTTTTATGTTGTGTGCCTATTCACAAGCACTTCTTGCCAGAAGTTCCCAGTTTGGATCATTACATGGTCTCTGTACTGAACTGCAAGGACTTTGTGCTAGAAGGCCAAAAAAAAAAAAAAAAAATTTACAAAGCCCTTTTCTAAGGCCTTAAATGAAAGACTGCAGAGATGGATTGTGGTACGTGCCAGGTGACTCAGTATGTCGATGCGCTAATATGTCCATGCACTAACCAGTCCACCTGGCCTTGTAGAGCGCTGTGTGCTTTGCCTTTAACTAACTGCTTCCCTCTCTCTACTCTTGGCCAGCTTATAAATAAAAATTAGAGCTGTCCCTTTTTTCTGGAGCCAGAATATGCAGGCATTGACTCATACTTGCAATATAGTAGCTGGAATGGAGTAATAGATGTTAAAATGCCAGTACGGAGTAAGCTACAGAAATGTGAAGGTGTCTGTATGGGAGTCTGAAGAGATCATTTGGTGTTTCTTTTTTTTTAAGGAAGTTCTTGAGTATTATATCTTGCTCTCTCTTATTATGTCTAGTCCTATCCTTTCATTTTTTTCTGTAGCAAATTCCATTCATTAATCTAGTAGCTTATACAGCATGGATGAAACTGCCTTGCCTAGAGCCATGCACAGGCCTTCCCAGCATAGCAGAGCTCATAGACAGAGGGTCTCTTTCTGCTGTGTCTTGATCTTCAATATATCACGTAGCACAACCCCTAATGCATGAAGGGCTTCTCTAAGCGCTCAAAACTGGCTCTGCCTACAGAGCCCTGCTGCTTACAGGGCTGCTCTGCTTGCAAAGCACTGAACTGCATTACATCGTTTGGCCCTTTTTCAGTCTTTTACCAAGCTGGAGAAGCCCCCTGTGGAGGAAGTGATGAAGAGCGGGAGCCAGGTTCCTGGCACATCTTCTGTGCTCATTGGGGCAGCCTCAATGCCTGCTGTTCTCTGCTCATCACTCTGCTCTCTCTGCATTGGAAAGGCGATCTCACAAATGTGTACAAGTATCTGAAGGGGGAGTGTCAAGAGGATGAGGCCAGCCTCTTCTCTGTGGTGCCCAGCAACAGGACAAGAGGCAACGGGCACAAACTGAACCACAGGCAGTTCCACCTGAACCTGAGAAAAAACTTCTTCACTGTGAGGGTGACAGAGCACTGGCACAGGTTGCCCAGAGAGGTAGTGGAGTCTCCTTCCCTGGAGATATTCAAAACCCGTCTGGATGTGATCCTGGGCAATATGCTCTAGGTGACCCTGCTTGAGCAGGGAGGTTGGACTAGATGATCTCCAGAGGTCCCTTCCAACCTAAACGATTCTGTGATTCTGTGATTCTGTGATTCTGTCTTCCACTTTCCAGGTAGCTTGTACTTCTCCAAGATAAGCTATAAAATCTAGGCACAGGCAATAGCAATGGGTTAAATGCTGACTGTATGTGCATGTCTCTGTTTTGTGCTATTTTCACAGAAAAAAAGGATATTGGAGTAGAAAAGTTGGGGGAACATCTCTGGGGAGAGAATGAGAGAGCAGGAAGGA